TTACCGGTTAATTTTTGCAAAACTTGATCAAAAAGATCAGGCCTGGGAAGAGGAACCCTAATACATAATGTTAGTGAGTTTATACTTTAAGGGAAATGATGTTATTCGCAAGGGTAGCAGAGATTCCTGCCGCCCTCTCGAGCGAGAACGCAGCCACACATGGCCATGTGTGTGCTGACAGTGGGCGCCGGTCTGGGGGAAGGAAGCGCGAGCGCATGGGGAGACCCGGAGCAGCCCGGCTCCTGCGGCTTCCGTTTCCTGGTTCTGGCCCTGTGGGAGCTAGCTGTGGTCATTCTAACAAGGGCTCCATTTTGAAACACAAAATGTATCAGGTGTGCTACAGTGTCGGGGACCAGTTGCTCGGCAGAAGTTGCATCGCTTGTATCAAAACAGAATTGGCCAGAAAAAATCTAGAAAGGTTTGTAATATAGTAAAAGGAGAAAAGAAACTGGAGTGTAACTGTCGATTCATGGTTAATATGAGTCCTAGAAGAAAGGGAAACTTGGTGGTTTTGGTCTTGATCTTTCCTGTGGACCTTTATAAAAGGTTCTAGTTAGGTTCTACTTAATCGTCTTGGTAGCTTGTAATTCAGAAATGTTAGGTTAAGAGTATTAAACGCCTGGATGTTCACACCAGATCTGCAGAGCTGCGTGGACAGTGGCTCAGCCGCAGTCTGACTTGACACATGGACAAGAGTGTGAGAAGCCTCCAGTGGGCCTCTAAAGAGATGGATTATGGTCAATTCTGTGGAGGGTTGTAGACATTTAAAATAAACCTTTCGCACCAGTGATCTGCTTGCTGTGTATTTTCTCTATCATTTTACTAATTTAGACTTTGAGCAGTGAATCCCTGTATGTGATGTAAGTGGTGGATCTAACTTCCTGGTGTTAAGTGTCTTCGCAGGGTTCCGTTCCTGTGGCTGTTTAAGGCTCCCAGTCACTAGGCTGCATTGCCTTCACCCCGCTCATGTGCTGGCTACTGAGTGCCTGCTGTGGGCTGGGCGCGGCTCCCTGGGCTTGGGAATGGAAGTGAGCAAAGCAAAGAGCGCAGCCTCTGGCAGAGCACCTGAGCGGCATAGTGACAGAAACAGAACTCAGATGCAGAGAGAGTGGGATTTCCAGACACTGGCCCTGGGGATGACTCTAATATTTTTGAATCAGTGACTTGGAAGGGGAATCACGTGAAATGTTCGCATTTGTGCAGGCACTCACTTCAAGGGGGCAAAGTTGCTAAGCCAGTAGTGGTCACCAAGAAAAGACACATGGCCTGAGTTAGAAGTAGACAACTAGTTGGCTTCTTGAGGCCGTGGCAGTGAGTCTGTCTCCCTGTAAAATAGACTACCGGGGTTAGAATTCTGGCAACCTGGAGAGAAGGATGCGAGAAAATATGATTGAATTTTGCAAAATGATAAAAACTATCATAGAGGTTAAGTAGAAATTTTTTTCAGCAAGTGCCAGGGTCTGGGAATTAGTGGGTATCCTTATAGAGATACACTTAAATAAGAGCATTCTGTAATTCTGGTGTTTGCGCACTAAGAGAATCACAGTTTGAAAATATGCATGAGCCATTCAGCCCGTGGGTTTCTGTGTTAATGACACCGGTGGGAGCTGTGGACCTTGAACTATGCCCGGATATTAGCAGAAAGATTCCCTTTGTAGACCTGATCCATTCTCCTGATTTCTAAGCTTTTCCTTTTACATATCTGGTCCATTCACACTTACTGTACCGCTGGTAGGCAGGGCTCTGATCACTCTTCAGCACCTGTTTCTCTATGCGTATGTCTCTGCTCCTCTATTCCTCCACTAATGCTGCCTTTTGTGTCAAATAGTTTTCTAGTTACCATTTTAATTCCATTGTTTCTTTTAATATATTTTAAAAGTATTTTTGCATGGCCACTCTGGCTATTATAACCAACTTCTAATAATCTAGTTCAGATTAATACCAACTTCATTTTGTGGTGTGCAAAAATTTCGCCAGGGTTCACTGCTTTTTCCTTCCTTTGTGCTTTTATTTTCTTACAAATTGTATTCTTTCCTTGTAACCTTCAACATAGTTTTTTAAAAGATATAATTTGTAACTGTTACTTTGGATGGTTACTTTTTAAACTGTATGGAGTAAGAAAGTTGCAAGCAAAAAATACATTCATGCTTTTATATAGTTTAGTTATAGTTGCCCTTACTGGTCTCTTCCTTTCTTAATTTGGGTTTAAGCTGTCTAGTGTCTATTTATTTCCATCTGAAGAACTTCCTTTTATCTTTCCCTGTATTTTATTATTTATTATTTCCCTTTAGTATTTCTTGAAGGGCTATAGCCCACTAGCTATGATGTAACTTGTTTATCTGGGAATATGTTGAGTTCTCTTTTGTTTGTGAGGGGTACTTTTCCAATTACAGAATGCATGGTTTGATCATCTTTTTCAGTATTTTGCAAATGGTGCCCACTGCCTCAGACTGCCAGTGTCTGAGGGAGGGCCCTTGTTTGTGAAAGCATCACTTTCCCTCACCGGTTTCTCTTTGTCTTTCAGTATTTTGATAATAATCTATTTTGGTGTGTTGCTCTTTTGAGTTTATCCTACCGGGAGTCCATTAAGCCTCTTGGATTAATGTTTTTTCCTCAAACTTGTGGGATTTCTGACCATTATTTAACTGCCTTAGCGGTTATCACCCTCTTAGATAGTTGCTTGATTATTTTGATAATTGCTCCAGGGCAAGGCTGTTTGAGGCACTGAGTCACAGCAAATAAAGATAAGCTGGTGAGGGAGTTTACCAGGATGGACCCACACGCCAGGTGACAGCTCTCTTTTTTTTACTGAGGTTTAGCTATTTATTTTAATACATGCTCTCTGGATAATTTTTAGAGTTATGGAAAATTTGATTCTGATCACTTTCTCTTCAATTGGCTTCTCCGTTACTTTATTTTAAGAATTTATTTATTATTTATGCATACAGAACTGGGGTGCAGGCCAGAGATGCCGGGGCAGTGAGAGGCCTCACCAGAGACAGTGGGGAGCAGGAGACAAGACAGGAGAGGTCTGCTGTGCCATGTAGCCACCTCCAGAGCCAGGATCAAACTCTCACTGAAGCGGCTGCAGCCAGATTGCAGTGCTGTGTCATAACCCACTGCGCCACCAGGGAGGGCCCCCCCTTCATAAATGGTTCAGTTGCTAGACCTTTAACTTACTGTCAAGTTTTCCAAGCACAGATGTTACCTACAGAACAGTCACAGGGCATTCGTTGCTCATTACCCCATGAAGAGAAAGAGACCCCACAGGATGAGTGCCGCGTCGCGGTGAGATGCAGGTCATGAGCTGGCTGTAGGCTTGAATCTTGTTTCAACCTCAGTGCCCACGGTCACTGCCTAAGTGACCTGAGCTCAGCACTTTCACTGGTGACGTGGGGGCTGCGGTGGGCTGACCAGTGCTTCCTCCCCGGTATGTCTCCGTCCTAGAGCTTGGGACTTTACACCATGAGAGGAGTTTCGCAGGGATGGTTAAGGGTGTTGCCATGGGGAGACTGTCCCACCTTATGAGATATTGTATGGACCCAGGATAATCACAGAGGAAGCTGGAGGACCAGAGTCATTGATTACAGAAGCAAGAGGTTAAGGGATACGAGGACGGGACCCCGAGCCAAAGAATGCAGGTGGCCGCTAGTAGTGGGAAAAGGCAAGAATCAGGATTTCCCTGACCCTGCTCAGAGGGGCACACCGTGACTTTAGACTCTGATTTCAGCGGTGAGAGTAAGTTGTGTTGCTTTAAGCCTCCAGGTGTGTGGCAGGTGGTCAGCAGCAGCGGGACGTGGATGTAGGGGCAGCGCTGCCTGTAGCTGAGAGAGCAGCTGGTACTTGAATGCCTGCTACGGCCCAGCAGCTCTTCTAGGTGCATTAGGTGCCTTCATTGATCAATAGTTTGTGCTGTTTTTCCTTAAACCAACAAAAAAGTAAACACATAATTTAACTTTATATAGAGGTAATTCTGTGCAAAAGATGATGATACAGGTTAGTGGGGAAATGAGTGTGTGTGTGTGTGTGTGTTCCCTCAGGTAGAGCAGCAAAGGGAATTCCCTGAAAGGTTACATTTGAGCAGAGACCTAGGTAACAGAGACCAACCAAAAGATGGCTTGGAGAGGTGCTGCGCCCCGGCTGGGGGAGCCGCGTGGCATGCTCTGCAGGTGAAGGAGAGCACCCTGAGGGCACCTGCTGCCCGGCCTTGCCTTGCCATGTCTCGTGGCGCCGACACTGTGGCGTTGCCTACTGGCATCGCTTCATCTTCTGCACAAACAAGACACATCGAGCCCCACAGTTCTTTCCCTTAAAGTTTGTGGAGGGAGCTTAGAGTCACACTGTTCCTAGAATTTACCTACACATCTATATCTCTGTAGATGTAGATTTTATTTTTAAATTTTTGATGACTTTCTATCTCTAGGCACCTCTGCTCAAACCACGGGCTTTGGTTTGGGATTCATTTGATGCGAACTCGGAGTAGAGACTGTATTTGCTGAGTGCTTACCATGTTTCAGGCTTTTCACTGGGCAAACAGACACTGTTCCAACAAATGAAGAGACCCTGGGGCAAGGTCTGAAGAGACCTCTCCTGGCGTCTGAGTCCCCTTTCCCTCCGGCTCACTGACCTCCACCTGGCTGGGAAACTCCTTCAGTCCTTGTTTAGGTTCCATTCTGTTGGCGTGATCGATTGGATTGTTGATTGAATAACAGAGCGAACTTTTTTTTTTTTTTTAAAGATTTATGCATACAGAACTGGGTGTAGAACAGAAGTACAGGGGCGTGAAAGGCATCACCAGAGACAGAGTGGGGAGCAACAGGCAGATCAATGAAGTACACTGCTGAGGGGAGCAGCAGCTGAATCAGGAGAGGTCTGCTGCACCATGTGGATCACCGCCGGGGCTGGGGATCGAACTCACACTGAAGCAGTGGCGGCTAGCTTCATGGTGCTGCGTCCTAACCCTTTGCGCCACCAGGGAGGGCCCACAAAGGGATCTTGTAAGGGTTGAGAGGTTTCCTCCCAGGAGGCATGGCCAAAGACCAGACAAATTATTACACATCACAGGGTCACACATCTGATGAGCGACAGAGCCAGGAATGAATCCTTCCCGCCCGTTTCCAATGCCCCTGCTCTATCTGCTGCTCTTTTGTCACCATTAAGACCTTGAGCTAAGTGGCTCGCTACCGTCACGTGGCTCCTTACTACGGGCCAGGTTGTGCGCATGCGCACAGCCCAACTTCCAGTGTGTGCTGCTTTCAAATGCAGTGTTATTGTCCTTGCTGGGGCAGCTGCGGTGGCAGGCATCGTTGGCACGGGGCTAGGGTTTCTGCTTGCGCTTTCATTGCTGCAGTTGCACAATTGTGGTCTATTTCGTTTCTAGCAGTACAACTAACAGCTGTATTGTCAGTGCTTACCTTCCACTTGCAATATTTTATCAAGTGAAAATTCAATCAGTGCTCTCAGTATTTAAGCAGGTTATAAGTCCTTCTTTGATTTGTTTCCTTTTGAAATAGAAGCTACAGCAGTAGAAGAAAGTCAGTACATTGTTATTTCTGGCTAGTAGGGTGCTATTTGTCTCGTGTTTGGCTTCATCTGTGTGCTTCTCTCTACATCCAGGTAGCATCCACTGTATTTTCCATGCCACTGGGCACCACTACACTTGGAAAAAGGTCACTACAACGGTGCATAACATTATCGTGGGCAAGTTGTGGATAGACCAGGTGAGCAGAGGTGTCCAGAATGCTTGGCGGCTCAGAGCCCCTCCTTAGGCACAGTTTTGCAGCATTTAGGACAAGAAAACTTGCCCCAAACTAGTATCATTTTCTTCTAAAGAATTTCTCTCAGGCGCTAGCCTTACCCCCAACTTCCTGAGTTTCTCTACAAGTTGAAATTTGTAAAGCAGTAACATTCATTCATTGATACTCCACGGACCTGTATTAGGCCCTATGAAGGATGCAAGCAAAAAGTCAACATGGCTGCTCCCTCCCTCCTTTGCTTATCTGTCAAACCCTGTGCCCGGCAGAGAGCCAGCTCCTAGGGAACATGGAGTCAGATGAGACATGGTCCTTCAGAGGGAGTGGCTGGCAGGGTCAATTGTAACAAATACGAGTAGGCTGACAAGTACTTAACAAAATAATACTGGCAACGTTTGATTGTCAGTTTGATCTTAAGACAATGGCTGTGGTAAATTCAGAAAAGAGGGAATGCTCTCTGAACAGTCGGGAAGGATGTCATCGTAGGTGTGAGAATTAAGCTGAAATTAGATTTAAAAAAGTGAAAGAGAAAATGAATGGATTATAGAAAGTCCCACCATATTACGAGTTGAGTATTTATAACTGCAGGGTTCTGAAGGGTATGAGTGGGGATTGGTTTAGAAAAGTAGCTATATGTGAATATATCTGAACATGTGCTGAAGGTCAGCTAATGGCACCTGACATGTGCTCATCCCTTTAAAGAAGCCAGAGGTCATCTGGTCCTGACCCCAGTCCAAAGGCCCTGTTTTGGTGGGATTCCACAGCACCTCAGGGTTGGCCTGACCCAAATCTCAGAGCTAGCGCAGACGATGGAAAGGGAAGGAAGTGAGCCTTGTGGCATCACATGTTGTCAGTCCTCCAGCCCTAAGACTAACCAGGATTCTTTCCATTTTATAGTCTGGTGAAATCGACATTGTGAATCACAAGACAGGAGACAAGTGCAATCTCAAATTCGTTCCTTACAGCTACTTCTCTAGAGATGTAGCAAGAAAGGTAAGAGTAACCGGAATTTAAATTTATTTAATTCAGTGTGTATTCCTTGGTAAGGGTTCGTTGAGATACATGGATGGACAGGCGGACAGACAGAAGGACCGACATGTGTATGTGCATATGTCTGTGTCTCCTAAACGTGATTCAAGGAGGGAGAGGTAACGGAGAAAATCAGCAGGAAAGGATACTTGCTGTACCCTTTCCTGGGAAGGACAGCAGGCGAGAAAGTGAAAAGTCAAGAGTGATAAGAAATTGAAAACAGGGGCCCGAAGGTGGCCTAATGAAAAAGGGTGATAGGAAGGGGCCTGAGGAAGGGGAGCGAGAGCAGTGCTGGGAGCCAGCTGTGGTGTCACACCACTATAAAAGCGTACCCCGAGTTCCCGTGGGAGAGGAAGCCGTAGTCGGGCATGTAAATCTGTTTGTGGTTCTCTCTGATGTCTGGAGAGAAGGAAGTACGTAATTCTGACTACCAGTCAGAGCTTTTCCTACATAATGTCACTGTAACAAAAATCCCTCTACAATAAAATGGTAATGAAACCCCCAACACATGGCTTGGTTATTTTAAGCAGCTCAAGAAAATATGACAGATAGTCAGACACCGTGGTGTTGGTCTGAGCATGAGTTAGATTTGTTTCCAGAATAGGAACGCTAACCCACGTGAATGCTGTGCCCTGCTCCTTGTAGGTGACAGGGGAAGTGACAGATCCGTCAGGAAAAGTTCACTTTGCCCTTCTGGGAACGTGGGATGAGAAAATGGATTGTTTCAAAGTACAGCCAGTCGTTGGGGAGAATGGGGGTGATGCCCGCCTGAGAGGCCACGAAGCTGAGGACAGCAGGGTGGTGCTGTGGAAGAGGAACCCTTTGCCGTGAGTATGGGTGCCCGGCTGCCCTCAGCGCCACCTTGGCGGGTGGACGGTGGCTCTGCCGCCTCCCCCCTGCAGCGCGGGGGCTCAGGTGAAGGAGATCCTGGAAGGGCGGCGCTGTCTGACTCAAGGGGTAGCGTGCCTTGTCCCAAGATTGTTAAAAGAATCATACCACCTCTGCAAAAATAAAAAAAAAAAAAGGGTGGAGGGTGGTTCTCAAAGTTCCTTGGATTGCGGTTCAAACAGTTATGTTTTCATAATTTCGAGCAAAGCTGTTCAGAAGCAGCTGGACGAGAAAGGTGCTACCGCCTTTTCATAATTTAGCCCAAAGGCCCAGTGGTGATGTAAAGGCCGCCAAGAGCCCTACAGGGCACTTGGGACAAATGAAGACGAGGCCACTTGGCTGCTCAACTCATGTGGTGCCTCCAGCCTGTATTAGCAGCCGAGGCTGTCTCAGGGGGCTGAAGCTCAAGCAGCACTCAGGAGCGTTCGCTTAAGAGAATGTTTCTCTCAGGAATTTCCTCATTTCAGCTGAGCACAGTGCAAGTCGAGAAGAGGATCCATGGCATGATTCGGGGTGGGGCCGGGGGTAGCCCAGTTGGGGACCCTGATGTCCTTGATTCTTTCTGTTTGTACAGCAGCCCAGCCTATGGGGTCTTTGGGCCCTTAGTCCTGGTATCACCTGTCTCTTCCCGGCCTTTCCCTTCAGGAAGAACGCCGAAAACATGTACTACTTCTCGGAGCTCGCGCTGACTCTCAACGCCTTGGAAGGCGGCACTGCCCCCACAGACAGCCGGCTGCGGCCTGACCAGAGGCTGATGGAGAACGGACGCTGGGATGAAGCCAATGCCGAGAAGCAGCGCCTGGAGGAAAAGCAGAGACTCTCCAGGAAGAAGAGGGAAGCAGAAGCTATGAAAGCTACAGAAGACGGTACAGGCCTGTCTTTTCATTCTCGGGGTCGGGAATCAGGTGTGCTCGGCTCTCACTGCGTCTGCCTCTGCCCTCTTTCCCCTGTAGGCACGCCCTACGACCCCTATAAGGCCCTGTGGTTTGAGCGGAAGAAGGACCCGGTTACGAAGGAGTTGACTCATATTTACAGGGGCGGATACTGGGAGAGCAAAGAAAAGCAGGACTGGAACTCATGCCCAGACATTTTCTGAGGCAGCGGAGACGGCAGGAGGAGGATCCAAAGGAGAAGCGGACAGAGGATGTGCGGGGAAGCGGGCCTTGGGCCTCTCACGAGTGCTTTCCTCAAGTTTGTCTGTCTTAACCAATCATTTTCCAAATCAATCACCAGAAGCAGACACCGATGGTGGTGATTGGCTGGTTGCCTTAGCTGATTGAAACTGAAATTGAAATGCTAGATGCCCGTGTTGTGAGGAGAGCCCAGTGGCTGCCCGGTAGTGCTGCCCCGCCTCTGCCAAGTCCGGTGTTCTTGGCTCTTCCTTCCCGCTGCCCCACTTGCCATGACGTCACTCCCCTGCCCCTTGTAGCTCCTGCTCAGTCAAGGTCCACGTCAGTGTGCTTCAGGGGCATTTTGGTGCTGTTCAGAGCGAGAGCTGATTTGAGAAGCTCCTTTAAAAAGAAACATGAGAGACTCAGCAGCGGAGGCTTAGTGAGTGGGTGCGGGAGGCCTAGGCCGGGCCTTCCCGGCGTGTTCACCAGTGGGCCCGTCCGTGGGGCGTTCGCACACAGACAGCTGAGGGACTGGGGCCCCCGCGGGAGGAGTGCTCGAAATATTCAGTTGCGTTCTGGGAAGCCTCTGTCTTCACTTGCTAAAACTCTTCCCGCTGTTCTTCATCTTTGACAGCACCGGACGCCACTTTGATGGCAGGAGGGCTGCGCTGTCCTCACAGAGGGGCTTGACAGACTTCCCGGGCTGAGAACTGGGAAGGCAGGGCAGGGTGAAAGGACTACTAGCCACTTTGCTTTCTCCTCACCCCACCCTTCATGGTCTTTCTAGCTTCTCTCCCTTCCTCGCCCTTCCTGTCTCCTTCCTTCCCTCCCCCACTTTCTCCACACTCCCCCCTCACCCCATACCAGTTTGGGTCTGTGCCCCAGTGTGGAGCAAAACGTCACTTGTTCCGTTCTGATACACTTCAGAATGTGAGAGTTCATCACGTAACAGGTTTCACCATCTCTCAAGCCCATGGACTGGAGCCACCTCTGGAATAATGTGTTAAATATCTGTATATTATATATATGTAGAGAAAAATCTAATTTTTTGGTTTGATTTTCCTTCCTCCCATTAAGAATCTTGCGTTTTGACATCACTTGTCCCCCCGGGACTCTCTTAGACACTTGGGTTTGGGTGGGAGACTCCTGAAGGCCACCTTCTGGGGGCAGATGAATCTGAAACTGGAGCAGGAGGGTGTCGGCAGTTAGTGAGCGGGGCTTCCCCATGGGATGGCTCATGGAGGGCCGCGGCTGTCTGAACCCCGCGCTCCTGACGCCTGCCTTTCGGACTCTTAACTCCTCTCCTGCCTGTTTTCCTTCCTTTGTTAGGAAGGGCTGGGCCGAGAGTCAGGTCATTTCCACTTTCATTCTGCCTCTGTCCAAATCACAGCACATACAGCTGATTCCCAAAAGAACTTTCTAGGCCGTGGGGAGGGGATGAGAGCGACTCCTGTTGGGCCCTGGCTTCCACCATTTTGTTCCGTTTGAGCTGTCTTCAGAATTCTAATCCCTGTGCCCCCCACCGTGGTTGAGGATCACAAATTGAGGTGCCTTCCTTGTATGCTTTCTGTTCGTCATTTTGTTTCTGTTCCTTAACTGCTGAGCCTCAGCCAGTGTGGGCCCCAGGGGAAAATATCATTCCAGAGGAAGCCATCCCTCCAGGGAAACTGGATTTATACCTGGCACATCAGTGCTCTTACTCCTTCCCCACCCTCCGCCCTTCCCTGCTGGAACCTGACGCCAGCGCGCTAGTTGTGGGGCAGCCTCTGGGGAGTGGCCTGAGAACCCCGATACCATGTGAGGAGGGCTTCTGTCAGCGCCTCCTCGGGGAGGCCCCACCGGTGAGACCCAGGCAGAGTTGAGGGAGAGTGGGGCTTCCTCGGCTCAGTGCGACGTCGCTGCTGTCTCCCCTTCTCTGCCACCTGCACTACAGTTCTGGCCTGATCCCAGTCAGAGTCCCGCTAACGGAAGAAGCTTTGAGTCCTTCAGGTGAAATAAAGTCACTTGAAAACAAAACTATATATATTTTCGGTTTTTTTGCCTTATTGTTTTTTTCCAAGAAAACTACTAAATTAAATAATTTTTAAAAAGTGATACTGGTTGTCTGATTCACTTCTGCTCCCACTAGGTCGGGAGTGGTGGTGGGAGGGAGGGGCGGGGAGCCGGGCAGGGGGGCGCTTGCTACTGCAGGATGGAAGACTGATGTGGGGAAACCGAAAGGGCGTCTGGGCCAGGGTGTCAGGTGTCTGGCTGTGGTACCGCCCGGCCCGGCCCGGCGGCCCGTAGAGGCCACGGGCAGGAAGTCATCCTTCGTTTCCTGCCCCAGTCAGCAACCTCCTTTGCCGCGCGGAGCGGCTTCCCGTGTTTTTGAGACTGGTCCTGTTTCAACTCAAAAAGAAAAAAAATTCTTGAATGTAGTTTCTCTTGCCCATTTAGATTCTCAGATGTTTCAAAGCCGCTTCATGCAGGGATTCCATTAACAGCTGAGCCTCAGCCAGTGCGCTGTCCAAGGGCAGAAGCTCCCTCCCTGCAAATGGACTCACCCTGGGTAACTCGCTACCTGTGTATTTGGAAGTAAAAGCGATCACGTATCGGGTGACGACCTTGGCGAGAAATCACTTGGAAAACCTAATGAGTTTGTTTAGTTGGGTTCAGGGAGGGGAGGAGATGACCAGAGAGGCTTGGAGAGGCCTGGACATTAGCCCAGCATCTGCCTCTCTTCAGGGGGTTCAGATAGGAACTGAATGTTGTCTGGCTTAGGATGATTTTAAGAAGTAAATGTTACATTTTACATTTAAGAGCTAAATTACATTTAAGAGGTAATTTTGAAGACTTAGAAAGGAACTAGAAACAGTACTACTTTAGGTCACATAGCTGAGTGGTTAGTCACAGTGTTGGAATTCAAAGCTGGGTTTGTTTAACCCCAGAGCCTAACCTCTACAGCCTGGTGTTCTGGAAAAACAGGGTTGGAAGGCCACTGACAGTCAAGTCGTTTCTCCTTCCATCGCGCCATGCTGAAGTGCACATCTGTTTTGAGGGGCTCACTGTCGCAAGTACCATTGGGGTGTCTTTCTGAAGGAAGGCGTGGCTAGAAGTTCATCCCTGCATTCCTCGATGTCTCAAGATTCTTGGGTCCACAAGATGAGCTACGTTGTCACGGATGGTTTTTTCCCAGCACAGGTGTGGGGAAGGCTCACCTGTTGAGTCATTCACCCAGCTCCGCTGCTGAAGATGATGATTTCTGGCCAGCTGAAGGCCACTGCCCTGGCCCTTGACATTGGGAGGGCCCCGCCCTGCCCTGAATACCTCCGGGACAAATGATTCCCTCCATTAGGGATAGTCACGTGCACCTGGAGCATTTAATAATCCTTAGTCCTGCAGTGGGCTGGGGAAAGGGACTCTGGCTCCTGAGAGATCTGCCATACTCAGTCTCGACTGCAATTTATGAATCAGCAGAATGGCAAATGATTCACTTGTCAGGGACTCCTCTCCAGCCCCGTGTAAAAGTTCAATGTACAAATTGTAAGGATCTAATTCAAAAAAAAACAAGCAAAAACCAGCCCACCACAATACTCAACTCCTAGTAGGAGGTATAGAGATGTCACTGGAGTTTATTCATTGGAAGACTCGCACCTTGAGAAACAGTTGCCAAAATTTCAAGTTTGCTGTTAAGAGTATAGAGCTTGTGCCCTGTACTCCCCCTGCCCGAGGAAAGCATTCCAAAGCTTTCCTGTCTTTCCCTTCCAAAGGTCATACAATCATCCGTTTCCACCCTCCTTGGCTTGCCTCCTCACTGTCTCTTCAACTGAAGTGTCCTTCTGGTTCACAGTACCCCTCAGGGAGAGGGGCAGGGTGCTCAGTTGAGGCATTTTCAAAGGCAAGAACTAAGTAGGCTAGAATTTGCTATAAATAGCCTCGCAGCGGTGACATCTGAGTTTGGCTAGGTGACTGTAGAAGTTGGTCAAGTACTAGGTGGCCTGGGGGGCCCGGAGCTATTAGACACCAGCTCCGGCCTGCTATGTCTGCTATGTCGCGCAGCAGCCAGGGTGAAAGTTTAAAAAAGCAGGTAATCCAATCCAGTATGGTGGTGTGAGGAGCAGCTAGCCTGTAGGGAGGGAGGAGAGGAGAGAGACATGCAGCGAAGTTCTCTAGCATTAGAAAAATGTATTTGAGTGGAGAGTTGCAGGTTTACTAAGGGTGATAGGAAGGGCCATAGAAAAAATGCTCCTGGACAAAGATGAGTGAAGTCAAGGAAGGTGCACTGAGCTTGCACAGCCACACAAAAGGGCAGAGTTTAGGGGAGGAGGGCACTGATGGACTCCAGGAGAGAGGCCGGAAGTACGGGAGTCTTCATCTACCAAACCATGGAAAGAAGGCTTCGGTCTGCTTTCAACAAGGGAGCGAGTGAAGGACTTTTAAACAGTAAGTTTTCCAGCATGGAAAATAATTGATGGATAGCTAAGATGTTGGGACCTCCCTGGTGGCACAGGGATTAAGTCTCAGCATTTTGAGGCTAATACCAGCCACGGCAGCATGAGTTTGATCCCCGGCCAGGGAGCAGACCTCCCCTGCTCCACCTGCTGCTCCCCTCAGCAGTGGATTTCAGTGGCTTCACCAGTTCTGCTCCCCCATCTGCCTCTGGTGAATCTTCTCACCGCCTACACCTAGCTCTTATATGCAAAAATAAATAAAAATACATCTTTTTAAAAAATAATAAAATAGTTTATTTTTACATCACTTTGTGACTTTTTCCATCTCAGTTGTCATCCCCGTGGGATGATCCCATCACCAGATCATCCTGTGCCATCACCATAGTCCCGTGCACTTCCCTCCCCCCTCTGTTTTTGATCCCATTCCCCATGCTACCCCCATAAAATGTCTCTGGTATATAGTTGTTCATTATTATTATTATTATTGTTATTATTATTATTTTCTCCCCTGGTTCTTTATGCTCCTGCTGTGAGCGAAACCATCTGGTAATTTTCCTTTCCTTTCTGGCATGATCCCTTCCAGCTCCATCCATGTTGCTGCAAAAGGCATGTGTTTATAAAAATACATCGTTTTAAAAAGAAAGATAAGATGTTGGAGAAAATGTCAAAATGAAGAAATATGGAAACGTTCCAGAATAATGAGTGCATGAACAGCACTTGGGTGTGAGGATGGGTGGAGAGCTGAGGTAGGGAGGGAAGGAGAGAGGCAGGGAGAGAAGAGCGATTTGGTGTTTCTCTAGCTCACAAAACTTAAATGGAAGGTGGTAAGATAAACAAGCTTATAGGAGAAGATAGGTTTATTTTTGGACCTGAGGTGCCTGTGGAGAGGTTGAACAGGCAGTTTAAAGCATGGCCCCAAAGGGATAACTTCCTTTCTGTGAGAATGAGGAACAGGATGCCACGAGACTCTTGAATTACCAGCTCAGTTTACAAATAAATGCACACTCCTGAGTCCCAGCTGCAGGGATTCTGATTCTGTTAGAGCCATGCAACTCTTATGTGTGTGCATAGATGAAAGAAAGGGGTTCAAATTTTGAAATGGAAAGTGGAGGTGGAATATAATCAGCATGTGATGTGA